AATACTTAATTTTGATTATATTCTGACCATCATACATTGTTCGTGTATGATGAATGATATGTATGATATATTATATAAAATATTCAAAAAAGCAAAATTAAGATAAAGAGATTAAACTGAATAAAAAAGAAGACAAAAATCGGAAAAGGAAATAAAGTTATTTTAATTGCTATCTTGGGCAGATATGTGTGAATATGCTAGTATTATGGTTCCAACCATCCCATTCAGCATAATTAGTTTATAATGAAAAGGTAAAAAGCCAAATATAAGCAAAAGTCCTCAATCAAAATGTAACTTAAATTAGAGAAATGAAAAAACAAAGGAAACAAAATTCATTTTAGTAAAATTAAAATAATCCATTAAAATAATGCATCTTTTATACACATTCTAAAATCACGAAACTTGTACAAAGTTACAAAACCTTGCCTATCTTAAGGGAAAGTCATGTGAAAGACATATGAACCCATAAATTTAAATATGGAGGAAGTCTTATGTTCTCTACATAACTTGCAGATATAATATGTCGTTTGTTTGCAAAATTAACCACCTTTTCTACTTTATTAACCGCTTGTAAAAATTTCTACTTGATGAATTGAATGTTTGTTTTTATAAAATAAAGCTCACAAAAAACTATTTTATCGTTTTATAACTCAATTTTAATCAATAATATAGAAATTCTTAACTGTAAAATATACGAATTAGTGATCATCATCAACAGGATAAAAATTGAGTGACATAAATTTCTGACGAACAATTACTTAAAATTATGCTTATGATAGTTTACAAAGAAAAAAACGCAACACACATATTCTTTAATTTATATTAGTCATTAAAAATTAAAAGGATAATTTGCTTTGAAGCAGCTCTTGACAAACTTCTTATAATTATTACTTTTTAGTATAGAACTTGATACTAAGTTATTACATCATTTTATGTTATCAAAGTAATGTTTCTAAAAATAGAGAAATGTACATATATGCAACATTATTAATATGAAATTTAAAAACTATCTTTATTATCCTAAATATTCCTAATAATTTTATTATCTACAATTTTTATTATCTACAATTTTGCTTGAAACGTGTCAAAATTTTAAGTCGATCGGACCAGAAACAGCAGAGTTATCGAGGTTGGAGTAAAGTCGTTTTGTAGTTTGTTTAAAAAATGGAAAAAACCGAGTTTCGTGTTCTGATAAAACATTGTTTTTTAATGAGTAAAAACACCGTGCAAGCGAAACAATGGATTGGAAAATGTTACCCGGACTCTTGTCCATCAAAAGCAACGATTTGTCGGTGGTTTGCCGAGTTTAAACGTGGTCGTACCGACACAAATGACGCGGAACGCTCGGGTAGACCTGTGGAAGCCGTTACACCGGAAAATGCGAGTGAAGTGACAAAAATTATAATGAAAGATCGTAAAGTGAAGCTCCGTGAGATTGCTGAGATGACACAGATATCATATAGAAGTGTTTTTACTGAAAAAGGTTTTTGAAGTGAAGTGAAAAAGGTTTTTTCCAAGTGGGTGCCGCGATTGCTTTCGATGGAACAAAAACAGCAACGAGTCGATGATTCAGAAAGCTGTTTATCGCTATTTACTCGCAACAAAAAAGATTTCTTGCGAAAAAAAAAGATTTCGAAAAGCATTGGAACGATTGTATCACCCTAAAAGGTGATTAACAAAAGGTGTTATGTTCATGAATAAAAAAAAATTTTGCAAAAAAAAATGTTGTTTTCAATGTTAGTCTCGGGAGTTATTGATTGATGTGTTATATATATATATATATGCCTCTCTCTCTTTCTCTCTCTCTCTGCATATATATATACTCTCTCTTTCTCTCTCTCTATATACTCTCTCTGCCTACCTATATATATA